TTCAGAGCTGAGACTCTGTGGAACAAACTGCCTCACAACATCTTGACTGCTACTACGAAAGGTGCATTTAAAACACTTCCAAAAAAATATTTTGTTGAAAGCCGTAATTCATGAACATTTGTGTAACAGATTGTAATGTAAGGTGAAATTATTTGAAATGTACAATTGTTCTTACGATGTTATCATTTAATATGTTTGGTGTATCTGTATAATTTTAAAAGGACCCCAGGAAGAGTAGCTGTCAAATTACTGACAGCTAATGGGGATCCAAATAAATAAACAATAAACAATAAATGAGCAAAAAAGGACAGAAGTACCTGCAGTTCCTGCTGTCGCCACTAGGTGGAGACACAGGAAAGGGCTTCCTCTTTTCTCTGGATCTGATTGAGACGCTTTGCGTCCATTTAAAACGCAGAGTTTCCTCTCAGGGGGAACAAAAGGCTGACATGTGCAAACCTTTGGGCCGAAAACTCTTTTTGAAGAGTGAAAACAGGTGGAAGCCTTTGATGCTTTGATGTTTGAAGTCCTCTGAAGTGGGTCTTTGTGCTGTTTGTGTCTGTAAGTGACTCATAAAAAACGTTTGCCGTCATGAAAAGGTGTCACGGTGTTCAAATGTGATCAAAAATGACAGAAATTATCATTTTTTATGTTTTTTATCACTAAAAATCCTGCAAAAAAAACACATTTCACTGACTGATTTCTTCCGATTTGTGCATCAAAAAGCTAAAAATCTGGAATTCTCTCTGAGTTTTTTGCAGAGTGGAAACATTCAGACAGTTTTTGCCTGATAGAAACACAACTTTTCCTCTTTAAGCTTAATCGGAATCGATCTCCTCCTCTTCCTCCTCTTCCTCCTGCCATGTGCTGATTGGGTACTGATGCATTTTTAATGTCCAGACACCCTTAAAGTTTTTTTTAAGGGGGGGGCACCTGACTTAGTTTCCTTCTGGAAAGGCCTCAAGCATCCATGGAGTCAAATCAGTTCAGAAGCCATTTTAATGGTTCGTCTTTTTAGGCATTTTTTAGTTGAGTTTACTGCTTTTTTTAATGATTTTTAGTCCTTTTCGTGGTTTTTAGTCCATCTGTCTGTTTTTCCGTGTCCTGGTTTTTGTTCCCGGTGTTAGAACTGGGCTATAATTACTCACGTTAGCATAGCATGCTATAACTTAATCCATGTAAATGACTGATTGTCTTATTCCTTTTTAGATGGATATTATTCCCTTTAGAATTCTACTTTTGGGTTAAACTCTCTGGCTGTGCCTCCTCCTCCTCTCTCTGTTACAGTATCTATCTATCTATCTATCTATCTATCTATCTATCTATCTATCTATCTATCTATCTATC